CTCAAAAGGCCATCATACATAATATTCCACAGCAAAGGGCCTAGAACAGAGCCCTGCGGCACACCTCCTGTTATATTATATTCTTCTGTACCATCGCGTGAATGGTACATTAGAATTCTGTCTGTAAAGTAGCTTGCGACTATATTGCATAGGTATGCTGGCACGTTCTTGTCACGGAGTGCATTCATAATGCAATCCCAGTTTGCAGAATTAAAAGCATTTTTTATATCCAATGTAGCTACAAGGCAGTACTTTTTGGAACCCCCCTTCCATCTGGTTCCAGCAATTGCCTCCTTGGCGGTATTAACTACCAAGTTTATAGCATCGATAGTTGATCGCCCTTTGCGAAAACCATACTGATTGTCTGCTAGGATTGGATCAACTACTGCATCTATTCTTTGGTGAATTATTCTTTCAAAAATTTTACCCGCTGTATCCAGCATGCATATTGGACGATAGGATGATGGTTCATCTGGTGGTTTTTTTCCTTTGGGAATAAGCACTAGTCTTTGCTGTTTCCATTTTCGTGGAAAAACCCCTTCTTGGAAACAAAGTAGTTACTATTTTATTCAATAGTCGTGGGCAAGTTGGTGAAGGTATTGGCTGGCTTTGAGGCGAGAACATTACAGTCTTATAAGGTCTTCCCAATGGATTTTCCTCGACTTTCAGCAAAAAGTTCTTTCCAGCACCTAACTTTACTATCTTTGATAGCTTTATTTAGTTGTCTACGTGCTTGTTTATATTCCACTACCAGTTGTGCAGAATTACTGAGACTAAATCCACGCTGAGAGATCCTTCTTTCTTTAGGCACTCTTTACGAAGAAGAGAGCTGATTTCTTCAGTCCACCAGTGCACAGATTGTCTTTGATTTAGCCATGTTTACGAGTCATACTGATATCACAGGCTTCGGTTATTCTCTCCATCAGCTCTCTAGTATGCTCATCTGCGTGTTCTGAATTATAGGTTTGCAATTTAAGGCAACTCTCATGGCGCTTCATCAAAAGATTTTATTTTCCACCCAATGGCTTTTTAGATATTTTCGCATGTCTTCTAATGTTTCTATCTGTTGATATTTCCCAGATTGATTGCATTGTGGTCACTAGCAGTGTAGATATCTAATACCTCCAATTGCAAATTCCTCTGACGAGGCTATTGCTAACAAAAGTAAGGTCTATTATTAAGCTTGACACTGCCCTTTTCAAAGGTTGGTTTATCACCACTATTAAGTAGTAAAACCACGTCAAGTGCATGAAGGCCTCAAAAAGTGCTGTACCTCTTGCATTAGTCTTCCTACTTCCCCAGTCTACCGCCCATGCGTTAAAGTCACCGGCTATCGCTACGGGGTGGTGTCGTTTTGCATCCTCCACAAGACGATCTAAAAAATCGACAAAATCTGGCAAAGAAAGACTAGGTGGAGCGTAACAGCTGTATAAATGTATGCCATCTAATGATGCTGCGACAAATCCTGCGTGCTATTGTTAACAACATTTTGGAAAAACAAAACTTGCCACAGGACCAAATAACGGCTTGGTGGTACTGTCCGTTTCCCATGGCCAATCAGTTAGATGTTTGTAAGGTTCTGATAAGAGGGCAACATCAATTTTCATATCTCTTACCGTCTGCAAAGCAAGTCGTGTGCAGCCTCACAATGATTCATGTTTAGCTGTATTTATCTTCATGCTTTTTGCGTTCATTATTTTCTCTATGGCCTCCCTATATAGAGGACATCTGTGAGTGCCGGCATGATGTGCTACATTTTCAGAGTTTCATTTTCAGCGCATAGTGCACATTTTGCTGCTGCATTTATACAGTTGGCTATTTTGTGACCTTCTTGTCCACACTAAAGCATAGATTGGTCCGATTCACTTCGCTCTTGCACTGTGATCCAAAATGTCCGAATAGCCAGCATTTAAAACATCGAATTGGTTTTCTTGATGTGACAGTTGACCCATCCAATTCGTATTTTGCTACTTGCTTTGAGCAGATCGTGTGTACAACTGCCGCTGGAAAGAGCTACAGTAGCAATCTGGGTACCTCTATATGCCTTACGAAGCCTAATTTCTTCTGTGGTGTGTTGCAGGCTCACCCGGTTGCTTTTTGTAGTGCTATCTGGAATATCAATTTTTGAGGTTCATCAATCAATATCCCTTATTTCTATAGTTTCTTGGTGCCCCTTATAAATAACTTCGGCCTCATCCTTTAACACACCTGCATAAGCAAGTCGTGTGCAGCCTCACAATGTTCATGTTTAGCTGTATTATCTTCATGCTTTGCGTTCATTATTTTCTCTATGGCCTCCCTATATAGAGGACATCTGTGAGTGCCGGCATGATGTGCTACATTTTCAGAGTTTCCATTTTCAGCGCATAGTGCACATTTTGCTGCATTATACAGTTGGCTATTTGTGACCATCTTGTCCACATCTAAAGCATAGATTGGTCCGATTCACTTCGCTCTTGCACTGTGATCCATAATGTCCGAATAGCCAGCATTTAAAACATCGAATTGGTTTCTTGATGATTTTAATTTGACAGTTGACCCATCCAATTCGTATTTTGCTACTTGCTTTGAGCAGATCGTGTACAACTGCCGCTGGAAGAGCCACAGTAGCAATCTGGGTACCTCTATATGCCTTACGAAGCCTAATTTCTTCTGCTGGTGTGTTGCAGGCTCCCCCGGTTGCTTTTTGTAGTGCTATCTGGATATCAATTTTTGAGGTTTCATCATCAATATCCCTTATTTCTATAGTTTCTTGGTGCCCCTTATAAATAACTTCGGCCTCATCCTTTAACACACCTGCGATAATCTGTTGCAGTCCTTGGCCTTTGTCCTCACTTTTCTTAGAAATAGTTATCAACAAGTCTCCATTTCTGGTTTTGTTTATTTTCTCTACTGTCGTATTACCTTGTCATCAGGGACATCATGTTTGATGCGACGTAATATTTCGGAATAATTAACTTTTTCGGTCGGCCGGATTAATAAGGCATTTGGTTTTGGAAAAATTCTATGATTTTTTATCATTTTATGGTTAGAGTCCTGTTCTGACAGATGTACCCTTGCTTCCTTTTTTTTCTGTTTTCTCGGCTGAACTTTATGCCAGTCATTTACCTCGATTTTTTCTTCATTACATATTTCTATGATCGTCTGACGTCTTGGCAAACCATTTTTCTCATTAACCTGATTATTGCTTATATGTTGTGAGTTTCGGTTTCTTGTGGCTTTGCTTGTGTCCTGCCGTACACTTTTTTCTATAGGGGCTGTCTCACAACATTGCACTTCATTTATCATAACTTCCGTATCATCCGTGGTTCGGCCTTTTTCCTCTAACAATTGGTTGTCTAAATCAATAAATCTTTTAATTACGGCCGCTATGTTGCCTGTTTTTATTTTCACCTCTTTATGTATGTTTGACTTTGATTTGACAATCATATGCAGTTCATTTATCAGATTCTCAAGGCACTTCAATGACTCATTCCGTTGTAAAATGACATTTTCCGGAATTATATGTGACAGTTCAGCCACTGGTTCTACTTTACTAGTCATACCGTCGCATGAGCTGGTCAGCGGGTTTCGGGCTATATCTGATATACCTGAACATAGCGTTGTGTTCAAATTATTGTGTGATTTATTGATTACATCACCAGCATTGTTTGACACTATGTCCCCACTAATGGGGATCATTTTAACAAAAATTCTACCTGCACCCAGAGGCGAGGATCACTCAGCTCACTAACTTATTAGTAACTTATTAAAACTGATGGAACTAATTATAAATTTTGTACGACAAAATAACTAATTTCTGGGTGTACATAGCTGTTGGCATGGAATCGTAGTAAATTTTATCTAGTTTCTCGCTATGTAACAGAAAAGGGGTGCTTTTCCCTGATATTTGTGAGTAATTTGACAAAAACCAAAAAAATGTCCCGAATTTTCTATTCATTTCTAAACAAAATAAAAGGTCGAATTCAAAGTCGTTTTATTCGAAACTTTTATATCGGAGTGTATATAACTGTTGGCATGGAATCGTAGTAAATTTTATCTTGTTTCTCGCTATGTAACAGAAAAAGAAGCTTTCCCCTGATATTTGTGAGTAATTTGACAAAAACCAAAAAAATGTCCTGAAATTTCTATTCATTTCTAAACAAAATAAAAGGTCGAATTCAAAGTCGTTTCATTCGAAACTTTTATATCGGGGTGAACATAACTGTTGCCATGGAATCGTAGTAAATTTTATCTAGTTTCTCGCTATGTAACAGAAAAGGGGTGCTTTTCCCTGATATTTGTGAGTAATTTGACAAAAACCAAAAAAATGTCCCAAATTTTCTATTCATTTCTAAACAAAATAAAAGGTCGAATTCAAAGTCGTTTCATTCGAAACTTTTATATCGGGGTGTACATAACTGTTGGCATGGAATTGTAGTAAATTTTATCTGGTTTCTCGCTATGTAACAGAAAAGGGGTGCTTTTCCCTGATATTTGTGAGTAATTTGACAAAAACCAAAAAAATGTCCCGAATTTTCTATTTATTTGTTTAGAAATGAATAGAAAATTCGGGACATTTTTTTGGTTTTTGTCAAATTACTCACAAATATCAGGGAAAAGCACCTCCTTTCTGTTACATAGCGAGAAACTAGATAAAATTTACTACGATTCTATACCAACAGTTATATACACCCCGAAAAAATGTCCCGAATTTTCTATTCATTTCTAAACAAAATAAAAGGTCGAATTCAAAGTCGTTTCATTCGAAACTTTTATATCGGGGTGTACATAACTGTTGGCATGGAATCGTAGTAAATTTTATCTAGTTTCTCGCTATGTAACAGAAAAGGGGTGCTTTTACCTGATATTTGTGAGTAATTTGACAAAAACCAAAAAAATGTCCCGAATTTTCTATTCATTTCTAAACAAAATAAAAGGTCGAATTCAAAGTCGTTTCATTCGAAACTTTTATATCGGGGTGTACATAACTGTTGGCATGGAATCGTAGTAAATTTTATCTAGTTTCTCGCTATGTAACAGAAAGGAGGTGCTTTCCCCTGATATTTGTGAGTAATTTGACAAAAACCAAAAAAATATCCCGAATTTTCTATTCATTTCTAAACAAAATAAAAGGTCGAATTCAAAGTCGTTTCATTCGAAACTTTTATATCGGGGTGTACATAGCTTTTTTTTTTTTTTGTATAGCGAAGGAAATGCTTTTATGCATCCCAGACCGGTCTTCTGTCTGGGTATGTCGGACTCGATACCGCCCTGGTATAATACCGACTAAAACCTCCGCTTTGCCCCTGCCTCTGGTCCCCACGGAAACCGCCGCTAGGCATTACTTCGTGGGGGGAGGATCTAGAATGTTACAATTCTTAACTTGTTATAAACAATGTTATAATTCATAAACATTTTACTTATCTTTTAAATGGGCGAAGTCCCATTCGCCCTTTCTCTCTCTATAGAACGCAGGTCCATTAAAACGTCTCTCGCAAATCTGTCTATGGCGTTCCAAGCAGCTTCACTTGTCAGCATCACTTCAACAACATTACCTGGGGTAATTGTGCGTCTCAATGTCTCCTCCACATCATCCCGTAGAGCACCAAATCGCGGGCACACGAAGAACACGTGCTCAGCATCTTCGATTTCGCCCAAACAATATGGGCAATCCGGCGAGCTATCGTGCTTGAATCGGTGTAGGTAGGCTCGAAAACAGCCATGCCCCGATAGCATTTGCGTAGTATAATAGTTTACTTCGCCGTGCTTGCGACTTAGCCAGACTTTGATGTTAGGAATGAGACGATGCGTCCATCTGCCCTTTACAGCGACATCCCACAGTCGCTGCCATCGGTCAATGCTGTTCTGCCGTTCTTCTAATCTTAACTTTTCAGTACACAGTTGTTGATGTCTTCTATGGTAAATTGTCCGTCTTTCCTCTGCTAAGACTAAGAGAGGCACAGTTCCTGAAATGACGCACACTGCTTCCGCCGATATTGTGCGAAATGCGCAAGCAATTCTTATAGCACTGAGACGGTATAAGGGCCCTGCCATTCTCCTCGATTTTTGAGATTTAAGAGCATCACCCCATATGGAGATACCATATGTCAGCACTGAAGTAATAACTGACGATAGTAATATCCTTCTGGTTTGTTTAGGACCTCCAATATTAGGCATCAGTCGAGCAAGTTTCGTCCTAACTATTGACGCCTTAGCACTAACGTGTTCCACCTGTTGATTGAAATTCAAACGAGCATCAAGCATTACGCCAAGGTAACAGATGTGAGGTTTTGACGTGATCTCAAGATTTCCTATCTTTAGCTTGATGGTCTCAATTCTTTTCCTACTAGTGATAAGAACAGCTTCACTTTTTTGTTGTGCTAATTGGAGATTCATTGTTCCCATCCACCGATTAATTTTTCTGAATGTAATATCGAATAGGCTTACGATGTCATCAATTTGTTTGGAGACAACCACTATGGCAACATCGTCTGCATATGCTACTAGTTTCACACATTCTGGAAACTCTAGTCTCAAAAGGCCATCATACATAATATTCCACAGCAAAGGGCCTAGAACAGAGCCCTGCGGCACACCTCCTGTTATATTATATTCTTCTGTACCATCGCGTGAATGGTACATTAGAATTCTGTCTGTAAAGTAGCTTGCGACTATATTGCATAGGTATGCTGGCACGTTCTTGTCACGGAGTGCATTCATAATGCAATCCCAGTTTGCAGAATTAAAAGCATTTTTTATATCCAATGTAGCTACAAGGCAGTACTTTTTGGAACCCCCCTTCCATCTGGTTCCAGCAATTGCCTCCTTGGCGGTATTAACTACCAAGTTTATAGCATCGATAGTTGATCGCCCTTTGCGAAAACCATACTGATTGTCTGCTAGGATTGGATCAACTACTGCATCTATTCTTTGGTGAATTATTCTTTCAAAAATTTTACCCGCTGTATCCAGCATGCATATTGGACGATAGGATGATGGTTCATCTGGTGGTTTTTTTCCTTTGGGAATAAGCACTAGTCTTTGCTGTTTCCATTTTCGTGGAAAAACCCCTTCTTTCAGGCATGTATTATATGCATTAAGAAACATTGTCGGAGATGTCATAATTGATGTTTTCAAGGCAATATTAGGAATTCCATCTAATCCCGGTGCCTTGCTATTACCAACGCGATGACAAGCTTCCATCAGTTCTTGCAGTGTTATAAGTGGAATATTATTCTGTTCTACATGTGTTACCTGGTAGTTCAAATTAGGTTGTCGTGGAAACAAAGTAGTTACTATTTTATTCAATAGTCGTGGGCAAGTTGGTGAAGGTATTGGCTGGCTTTTGAGGCGAGACATTACAGTCTTATAAGGTCTTCCCCATGGATTTTCCTCGACTTCATCCAAAAGTTCTTTCCAGCACCTAACTTTACTATCTTTGATAGCTTTATTTAGTTGTCTACGTGCTTGTTTATATTCCACTACCAGTTGTGCAGAATTACTGAGACTAAATCCACGCTGAGAGATCCTTCTTTTCTTTAGGCACTCTTTACGAAGAGAGCTGATTTCTTCAGTCCACCAGTGCACAGATTGTCTTTGATTTATGCCATGTTTACGAGTCATACTGATATCACAGGCTTCGGTTATTCTCTCCATCAGCTCTCTAGTATGCTCATCTGCGTGTTCTGAAATTATAGGTTTGCAATTTAAGGCAACTCTCATGGCGCTTTCATCAAAAGATTTTATTTTCCACCCAATGGCTTTAGATATTTTCGCATGTCTTCTAATGTTTCTATCTGTTGATATTTCCCAGATGATTGCATTGTGGTCACTAGCAGTGTAGATATCTAATACCTCCCAATTGCAAATTCCTCTGACGAGGCTATTGCTAACAAAAGTAAGGTCTATTATTGAGCTTGCACTGCCCTTTTCAAAGGTTGGTTTATCACCACTATTAAGTAAAACCACGTCAAGTGCATTGAAGGCCTCCAAAAGTGCTTTACCTCTTGCATTAGTCTTCCTACTTCCCCAGTCTACCGCCCATGCGTTAAAGTCACCGGCTATCGCTACGGGGTGGTGTCGTTTTGCATCCTCCACAAGACGATCTAAAAAATCGACAAAATCTGGCAAAGAAAGACTAGGTGGAGCGTAACAGCTGTATAAATGTATGCCATCTAATGATGCTGCGACAAATCCTGCGTTGCTATTGTTAACAACATTTTGGAAACAAAACTTGCCTCAGGACCAAATAACGGCTTTGGTGGTACTGTCCGTTTCCCATGGCCAATATTTAGATGTTAGATGTTTGTAAGGTTCTGATAAGAGGGCAACATCAATTTTTATATCTCTTACCGTCTGCATAAGCAAGTCGTGTGCAGCCTCACAATGATTCATGTTTAGCTGTATTATCTTCATGCTTTTGCGTTCATTATTTTCTCTATGGCCTCCCTATATAGAGGACATCTGTGAGTGCCGGCATGATGTGCTACATTTTCAGAGTTTCCATTTTCAGCGCATAGTGCACATTTTGCTGCATTTATACAGTTGGCTATTTTGTGACCATCTTGTCCACATCTAAAGCATAGATTGGTCCGATTCACTTCGCTCTTGCACTGTGATCCATAATGTCCGAATAGCCAGCATTTAAAACATCGAATTGGTTTCTTGATGATTTTAATTTGACAGTTGACCCATCCAATTCGTATTTTGCTACTTGCTTTGAGCAGATCGTGTACAACTGCCGCTGGAAGAGCTACAGTAGCAATCTGGGTACCTCTATATGCCTTACGAAGCCTAATTTCTTCTGCTGGTGTGTTGCAGGCTCCCCCGGTTGCTTTTTGTAGTGCTATCTGGATATCAATTTTTGAGGTTTCATCATCAATATCCCTTATTTCTATAGTTTCTTGGTGCCCCTTATAAATAACTTCGGCCTCATCCTTTAACACACCTGCGATAATCTGTTGCAGTCCTTGGCCTTTGTCCTCACTTTTCTTAGAAATAGTTATCAACAAGTCTCCATTTCTGGTTTTGTTTATTTTCTCTACTGTCGTATTTACCTTGTCATCAGGGACATCATGTTTGATGCGACGTAATATTTCGGAATAATTAACTTTTTCGGTCGGCCGGATTAATAAGGCATTTGGTTTTGGAAAAATTCTATGATTTTTTATCATTTTATGGTTAGAGTCCTGTTCTGACAGATGTACCCTTGCTTCCTTTTTTTTCTGTTTTCTCGGCTGAACTTTATGCCAGTCATTTACCTCGATTTTTTCTTCATTACATATTTCTATGATCGTCTGACGTCTTGGCAAACCATTTTTCTCATTAACCTGATTATTGCTTATATGTTGTGAGTTTCGGTTTCTTGTGGCTTTGCTTGTGTCCTGCCGTACACTTTTTTCTATAGGGGCTGTCTCACAACATTGCACTTCATTTATCATAACTTCCGTATCATCCGTGGTTCGGCCTTTTTCCTCTAACAATTGGTTGTCTAAATCAATAAATCTTTTAATTACGGCCGCTATGTTGCCTGTTTTTATTTTCACCTCTTTATGTATGTTTGACTTTGATTTGACAATCATATGCAGTTCATTTATCAGATTCTCAAGGCACTTCAATGACTCATTCCGTTGTAAAATGACATTTTCCGGAATTATATGTGACAGTTCAGCCACTGGTTCTACTTTACTAGTCATACCGTCGCATGAGCTGGTCAGCGGGTTTCGGGCTATATCTGATATACCTGAACATAGCGTTGTGTTCAAATTATTGTGTGATTTATTGATTACATCACCAGCATTGTTTGACACTATGTCCCCACTAATGGGGATCATTTTAACAAAAATTCTACCTGCACCCAGAGGCGAGGATCACTCAGCTCACTAACTTATTAGTAACTTATTAAAACTGATGGAACTAATTATAAATTTTGTACGACAAAATAACTAATTTCTGGGTGTACATAGCTGTTGGCATGGAATCGTAGTAAATTTTATCTCGTTTCTCGCTATGTAACAGAAAAGGGGTGCTTTTCCCTGATATTTGTGAGTAATTTGACAAAAACCAAAAAAATGTCCCGAATTTTCTATTCATTTCTAAACAAAATAAAAGGTCGAATTCAAAGTCGTTTTATTCGAAACTTTTATATCGGAGTGTATATAACTGTTGGCATGGAATCGTAGTAAATTTTATCTTGTTTCTCGCTATGTAACAGAAAAAGAAGCTTTCCCCTGATATTTGTGAGTAATTTGACAAAAACCAAAAAAATGTCCTGAAATTTCTATTCATTTCTAAACAAAATAAAAGGTCGAATTCAAAGTCGTTTCATTCGAAACTTTTATATCGGGGTGAACATAGCTTTTTTTTTTTTTTGTATAGCGAAGGAAATGCTTTTATGCATCCCAGACCGGTCTTCTGTCTGGGTATGTCGGACTCGATACCGCCCTGGTATAATACCGACTAAAACCTCCGCTTTGCCCCTGCCTCTGGTCCCCACGGAAACCGCCGCTAGGCATTACTTCGTGGGGGGAGGATCTAGAATGTTACAATTCTTAACTTGTTATAAACAATGTTATAATTCATAAACATTTTACTTATCTTTTAAATGGGCGAAGTCCCATTCGCCCTTTCTCTCTCTATAGAACGCAGGTCCATTAAAACGTCTCTCGCAAATCTGTCTATGGCGTTCCAAGCAGCTTCACTTGTCAGCATCACTTCAACAACATTACCTGGGGTAATTGTGCGTCTCAATGTCTCCTCCACATCATCCCGTAAAGCACCAAATCGCGGGCACACGAAGAACACGTGCTCAGCATCTTCGATTTCGCCCAAACAATATGGGCAATCCGGCGAGCTATCGTGCTTGAATCGGTGTAGGTAGGCTCGAAAACAGCCATGCCCCGATAGCATTTGCGTAGTATAATAGTTTACTTCGCCGTGCTTGCGACTTAGCCAGACTTTGATGTTAGGAATGAGACGATGCGTCCATCTGCCCTTTACAGCGACATCCCACAGTCGCTGCCATCGGTCAATGCTGTTCTGCCGTTCTTCTAATCTTAACTTTTCAGTACACAGTTGTTGATGTCTTCTATGGTAAATTGTCCGTCTTTCCTCTGCTAAGACTAAGAGAGGCACAGTTCCTGAAATGACGCACACTGCTTCCGCCGATATTGTGCGAAATGCGCAAGCAATTCTTATAGCACTGAGACGGTATAAGGGCCCTGCCATTCTCCTCGATTTTTGAGATTTAAGAGCATCACCCCATATGGAGATACCATATGTCAGCACTGAAGTAATAACTGACGATAGTAATATCCTTCTGGTTTGTTTAGGACCTCCAATATTAGGCATCAGTCGAGCAAGTTTCGTCCTAACTATTGACGCCTTAGCACTAACGTGTTCCACCTGTTGATTGAAATTCAAACGAGCATCAAGCATTACGCCAAGGTAACAGATGTGAGGTTTTGACGTGATCTCAAGATTTCCTATCTTTAGCTTGATGGTCTCAATTCTTTTCCTACTAGTGATAAGAACAGCTTCACTTTTTTGTTGTGCTAATTGGAGATTCATTGTTCCCATCCACCGATTAATTTTTCTGAATGTAATATCGAATAGGCATACGATGTCATCAATTTGTTTGGAGACAACCACTATGGCAACATCGTCTGCATATGCTACTAGTTTCACACATTCTGGAAACTCTAGTCTCAAAAGGCCATCATACATAATATTCCACAGCAAAGGGCCTAGAACAGAGCCCTGCGGCACACCTCCTGTTATATTATATTCTTCTGTACCATCGCGTGAATGGTACATTAGAATTCTGTCTGTAAAGTAGCTTGCGACTATATTGCATAGGTATGCTGGCACGTTCTTGTCACGGAGTGCATTCATAATGCAATCCCAGTTTGCAGAATTAAAAGCATTTTTTATATCCAATGTAGCTACAAGGCAGTACTTTTTGGAACCCCCCTTCCATCTGGTTCCAGCAATTGCCTCTTTGGCGGTATTAACTACCAAGTTTATAGCATCGATAGTTGATCGCCCTTTGCGAAAACCATACTGATTGTCTGCTAGGATTGGATCAACTACTGCATCTATTCTTTGGTGAATTATTCTTTCAAAAATTTTACCCGCTGTATCCAGCATGCATATTGGACGATAGGATGATGGTTCATCTGGTGGTTTTTTTCCTTTGGGAATAAGCACTAGTCTTTGCTGTTTCCATTTTCGTGGAAAAACCCCTTCTTTCAGGCATGTATTATATGCATTAAGAAACATTGTCGGAGATGTCATAATTGATGTTTTCAAGGCAATATTAGGAATTCCATCTAATCCCGGTGCCTTGCTATTACCAACGCGATGACAAGCTTCCATCAGTTCTTGCAGTGTTATAAGTGGAATATTATTCTGTTCTACATGTGTTACCTGGTAGTTCAAATTAGGTTGTCGTGGAAACAAAGTAGTTACTATTTTATTCAATAGTCGTGGGCAAGTTGGTGAAGGTATTGGCTGGCTTTTGAGGCGAGACATTACAGTCTTATAAGGTCTTCCCCATGGATTTTCCTCGACTTCATCCAAAAGTTCTTTCCAGCACCTAACTTTACTATCTTTGATAGCTTTATTTAGTTGTCTACGTGCTTGTTTATATTCCACTACCAGTTGTGCAGAATTACTGAGACTAAATCCACGCTGAGAGATCCTTCTTTTCTTTAGGCACTCTTTACGAAGAGAGCTGATTTCTTCAGTCCACCAGTGCACAGATTGTCTTTGATTTATGCCATGTTTACGAGTCATACTGATATCACAGGCTTCGGTTATTCTCTCCATCAGCTCTCTAGTATGCTCATCTGCGTGTTCTGAAATTATAGGTTTGCAATTTAAGGCAACTCTCATGGCGCTTTCATCAAAAGATTTTATTTTCCACCCAATGGCTTTAGATATTTTCGCATGTCTTCTAATGTTTCTATCTGTTGATATTTCCCAGATGATTGCATTGTGGTCACTAGCAGTGTAGATATCTAATACCTCCCAATTGCAAATTCCTCTGACGAGGCTATTGCTAACAAAAGTAAGGTCTATTATTGAGCTTGCACTGCCCTTTTCAAAGGTTGGTTTATCACCACTATTAAGTAAAACCACGTCAAGTGCATTGAAGGCCTCCAAAAGTGCTTTACCTCTTGCATTAGTCTTCCTACTTCCCCAGTCTACCGCCCATGCGTTAAAGCCACCGGCTATCGCTACGGGGTGGTGTCGTTTTGCATCCTCCACAAGACGATCTAAAAAATCGACAAAATCTGGCAAAGAAAGACTAGGTGGAGCGTAACAGCTGTATAAATGTATGCCATCTAATGATGCTGCGACAAATCCTGCGTTGCTATTGTTAACAACATTTT